TGAGGTAATGATAAAAGTCTATGACAAGTACATATTACTAAAGCGCAGAGCAATTGTATTTCCATTAAACTCCTACAAATCAATTACTATTGCAATTAAAGCTTTTTTCCACAGCCCAGATAATGTCTTCCAAGCATTTATCTTTCAAGTTAATGATTGAATGAATGAAGATAAGTAACAGCATTTTTTTTCTTTTTACTTCAGGAATACATTACTGTCGTTAGTATAGGACAGTGGAGGAGTTAGATGCCTTTTGTGTTGATTTAAAAAAACGTTGTTGTTTTTGTTAAGTGCCATCGAGTAGAGCAATTTAAAAGTATAAAAAAGAAAAATTAATTCAGAACTCTGTTTGCCTAAACATAGAAATGATAATTTTGTCGAGACAAAATTATCTTTTCAGCATATTTAATGATCAATAGTGATAAATTCTTTTGAAACAGAGATTTTAACTACAGAAATGACTTCATGGATATAAATTCCGTTAAAGAAATATTTTGAGCCATTTGTGAAACATCTTTGTATGATCTTTGTGGAAGCTCCGATGCCTAGTGGCAAGAAGCTTTGCTGCAATCCCAAAGACATGTAGTTCGAGGCTACCAGCAGCTGGGGGCAAGGGAGGCGGGGGGAGAGGAGAAGGATGGGCAGCCTCCTCCCATGTGTTTAACTGCCTCTGAAAAGCCACTGTAGGGTCAGCTATGGGTCAGTTCCAACTTGATGGTACACAACAACAACATGATCTTTGTGACTGAAAATCACATTTATCCCTTTTTCCCCATTTGAACCTCCAGCAATTCTATGAAGGAGGTGATTCTTATATTGATATTTTAAAGAAAACTACAGTTAATGGGACCAGTAGTTATCCAAAGCATGATCCCAAATCCTCTATTCTCCACATCTTCTATCTTCTGCAAATAATGCATTAAGAAGGATGTACAGGATATCAGAATGTTTCTTGATACTCATTTGACTTACACTAGGCTTTTCAGTTCACAAGATATTTTCACCTCTACTATACCTTTTCCATGTGAAAATGACACCGCTCAAATTTCTAGAAAATGTAAAGACTAATGAGAAAATGGTAAGACAACAGTAAACCTGACAATGAGACAACACTTGATCAGGTCATTGGTTGATCAAAGAAGAGGAAGATCACATATGTCTGGAAGGATGAGAAAAGTCAGTTCAGACTGCAAAGATAACTGAGTAAACTTATGCACCGAGCCAGACAAAAGTGGAGCTACACTTCCTTAAAGTCTAGTCCTATACCAATTCCTAGAAAACACACCATGTGTCTTAAAATTTTCAGGTGAAAAAGGTTATTATTACCTTCAATATAAAAATGTGGAAGTGCTTAGAAAGTAAAATATCTGAAATCAAATCATTAGAGATGGATGTATCCAGCTAAATTAAAGAATCCCACTGTGACATCAATCTTATGGCTCAATTGATATCTGTATTATTTTTTTAAAAGGCTAAACACAATGGTCTAATATTGAGAAAAGTTAAGAGTTGGGACATTTTTCATAATATGAAATAATAGTAGTTTGGTTTTTCCATGTCCTATCTTTATTGAGATACCAAAACCAGTCTTTAAGAATCAGAATATAAACCCAGAGGTGTGCAGTTCGAATCCATCAGATGCTCGCTGGAGAAGGAGGGACAATCTCTTCCTGTACCATTCAGATCTGATTTGATGGTACATACACAAAAAAATAATAAAGTAAAAAAAATTAATTGAATGCTAAAATAAACATTGACCTACTTAAATTTAAAAAAATAAAAATAAAAAAATTTAAAAAATAATAATAAAGATATTTTGCACAAACAGCATGTTGTCCTCGAGTGGTTGTAAGTTAAACAGTCAGATGATCAGTCAGCATGAAATCACTCGTAGGAGAAAGAGTGAAAAACCGAAGCCAGAGGAACCTACTCCACGGTGGGATGGAAAGATCAGCACCAACAGAAGGAAGAGCTTTTCCATATCAGTCTGTACTCGTTAGCACAGCTCAGTCACTAAGTGTTGGGCATAGGAATGTGAATGGGTCAGCCTAGGACAAATGTAGAAAATTCTAGACAGCAGTGATGTGTGGAAGGAAGACTAAAATTTAGCAATCTTCAGTAGCAGGTTAATTAAGGATGTTTGGGGTCTGCATCTCTCTCTTCAGCTTCCATTTCATCACAAATCTGGGATAATTTTCTTATACGAAACCATCTTTCATCTTCTACTTTTCAATTTCTGACTTAATCTAGATTATCATTATATGTATTTAGAAAAAAGAATGAACAACCTGGTTAAGTTTTATACTAAAACTATATAATCTTCCTAAGGCTTCTTAAAGAAGAGTTAGGTGGACATCAACAATAAAAGAAAGACTATCAGCTGCCTTGCTTGTGTCCCTCAATTTCTCTGTATATACATTTGAAGATAAGAAGTATAGCTTTAAAAGAGAGATTTCTATCCTCAGGTAGAAACTAATAAATTAACTGGAAAAATGATCAAGGAATATATAGACTGTGCTTGTATTTATGAAATAAATGCAGGGGGAATATCTAATTTTTTTTTTCATTTTAAGAGATCCTTAGTGATTCTTTTCATCCTTGGTTGACTCTACCAACTCTTTCTCCTCTGAAACAAAACCTTAATCCTACAAGTTTTTTCACTGCTACCCTTCAGGTTGACCAAGCTTCTTGCTTGGTGCTCACTACCAGTGGTCTCTAAGTAACCATATAGACCAATATAACTTCTGACATGATTCCCAGCATGGCAGTTTCTGTAAATGGGATGCATATAACCCGGCAAATGTAGAGAATTGTATTATCTCAACTCCATTTAAAAGCCATAATAATTGCTGATAATATGATCTCCTTTTGTATCCAATAGAATATGTCTCTGTAATTCCTTATAGTTTGTAAAATGCATTCCGAAGGTAAATTATATTAATTCCTACAGCAAAACCCCTGAGGTATGTACACTTATAGGTGTATATGGATAGATAGATAGATAGATAGATAGATAGATAGATAAAAAATAGATAGATAGACATTGAAAAGTTTCATTAATTCATTTAAATTATCTGACTAGTCATCCTAAGCTTGGAAGCAAACTCATTGTGTATAATACTCTGGTGAATAATAAAGTTGGAACTAGAGTCCTGCCTCTAAAAGCAAACTCATTGTGTATAATACTCTGGTGAATAATAAAGTTGGAACTAGAGTCCTGCCTCTAAAAGCAAGACAAGGAGATACTTATACAATCTAGCTTTATTTTCATACATAAACTTTTCATTTGTAGAATCAAAATGCAAAAGCACAAGTCAGCCCCTCTTTGCAGCAGATTTAAACTTTGTACTCGTCTTACAATGTCCACTATGCTCAAGCCCAATAGTGTAGTTAGAAAATAAGAAAAAACAATAGACCTACATTAAGGTTGAAATGCTATATTCTTACATTTATAACTGATTAGAATCAGTTTATAAGTAAGGATAGCTCCATGTTTATGTACCATGTATTTATTAGAGTTTATTGATTTAAGTATAAATTAGCTTTGGAAAAATGTTGACGTAGGTCAAAATTATACATCAATACTTATTTTTCAGTGGTCAATAAAAATTTTAACATTTAAAAATATTTCTTTTCCTTTTACGCACATTACAAAAGAGAACATAAATTAATATCCCTATAATCTTTGGATTCTATATTTGCATCTATATCATTTGCTACCACAAACAGGGAGTTCTGGAGCCTTATCGTAAGGAACTGGGCTGTGCTGTCTACCCAAAGTCATGCAGCTTGAATCCACTGACTTCTCTGTGGTAGAAGGATGAGCGATCTTTTCCAGTGTGATTTACTGCCTCTGAAATCTCATTGGAGGGACTACTATTTGTTCTGACTCGATGATACATAGCAACAACAAACACAACTATTAATAAGTAAGATGAAAAAGTAGCATTTTAAAACCAAATTCCCTCTTATAAAATATATATCATATCAGTGATCAAAATTAGTGAATACTCAGCTTTTGAGGTAGCCAGGGACAATGTAAGACTGAAAGGAACATGCATATAAAATCACGTCATTTATTCACTCTCCAGTGCTTCTTGACACTTCCTCCAGGCGACATAGTTATTATGTCGTTAACATAGTTGCTCTTGGAACAGATTTCTGTACATAGAGTGCACAGAACCTGGCAACTAGACAGAAGTCTATTGATATGGAATGCAGCTTCATTTATTGAGCACTTATTACTTGCAAGTCACTATGCTAAGCATTTTTATTTGCCCCTCATATCCCTGAACATTAACAAGTAGTAAACATAATTGTGCTGACTAGAAAATTGAAGTACAAGGAAAAAGTAATGCCTTCAGCTTTGCATGGTGTCAAAAACTGGTAAGTGATGATGCTTGGCTTTAAAAAAAGGTTGCCTTAACCATATCACCTAACTGCATCTAAAGGATTTAAACTTTAAAATTTCAAAAGATTGTTCCAAACAGTCTCATCTGAAAGACAGTATAGCCTTTTCTGCTTTCTTCTGTGAGATTATTCTCTATATTTTTTCAGTTAGAACAGAACTTGTCAATAAATTGGCTTCATCTTTTTTCTTAAATGAAAATTTCTATGATAAATCTGATTCTCCTACTTCATTTTTTTTCTACTTGCCCTAAGAAACAACATTCTTCTCATGAAGGACTAAATATATAAAGTAAAGTGGACAGAACATCAAAACTGCTCGCATACATCTTGATTTCTTTACTTTCAACTGGATACCCTAACTTTTCCTATTTCCATTGGCAATTAATATGTTGAAGTATAATTGTGCATAGATATAGGTACATAATTTACATGATTAAATAAATTAAACTGAAAACATATTACTACCTTGCCTGTCTCGGACCTTTAACAGTACACACAGGGTTTACATTTTCATGGACTGTTTTTTTCATACTTTATCTAAATAGTTCATGAGCAACCTAAGGTAGTAGTCATTTGCTTTTTCCCCCCAGAAGCTCAGAAGAAGCAGTTGGAAGAGAGTATAGAGCTGATCCAAGACGAATGTGTGTCAGAGAACGCAGATCACTCTACAGAGGAACCTGCTGAAGGAGGGCCAGACGCGGATGGAGAAGAGATGACTGATGGGATAGAGGAGGACTTCGATGAAGATGGGGGTCATGAGCTGGTAGGAACTAAACATTTGGTGTCTATACCCTTTGGATAACAGCACTAGCATGCCAGCAACTCATTCACTATAAAATTAAGACTAAATCATTTGGAGCTTATTTCTTATATACGTATATTTAAGACAACAATAAGAGTGTCTTGCTCATAATAAGTGCTCAATTCTTTTATGATAAATTAAAACACGGTGATGCTAATGAATGAATAGTAGGCATATTATTCACAAGATTAGATGTCAGTAAAATCCGAGAAGAAAAATTCTCTTTCACAAATAAATGCTTCATCATGAAAAGAAACCTTGTGTTTGTGCAGCTGGATGCAAACTACATGTAAGTCCTATCTAAGTAACAAATGAGCATTTACTTGAAGATATAAAGACCTTCCTTTTATTTGGTAGTGTCACTGACTGGTGTTGATTCTCCTTCCTACTAGCTGTGTAGCTCCTACAGTTGGGTCACTAAGGCAACCCTTTCATATGTGAGCAACCCACCATTTGCAATGCCTGTATTGTAGGTATTCATTTGATATGATTTTGAGACTTTTACAATTCTCATTTCCAGACACCCCTTTCTTTATAACCACACCAGAGACTAGGTAAATGTATGCTGGTGAGGATGTTATTTCTTATATTTTATCAACCATGAAATTAAGTATACTCTCTAAAGAAGCTGACTAATAGAAATGATGAGTATGAGAGAGTGAGAGAGGGAGAGTCAGGGAAAGGGAAAAAAAGAGAGAGAGAGGCCAACTTTCAATTAGCAGTGGTCTGATAATATTAAATCCAGCTTGTACCTTGCTATTTCAAGTTCAGATTTATTAGAACACCTATTGTTATTTAAGTTGGTGGTGAGAGTTATGCTTTTCTACTTTGGATGGTGACTACTGGTATCAATAGTTTGAAACAAGCTTAACTTTACAGAATTCTATATTGTCTTTTAACATCCAAATTCTATTTCAATTGTATAAGTCTTTCATTTAAACCCTTCAAATATGAGCCTATCACTACAAAAGTCTGCATAAATTGAAGGATTTAAGTAGCCATTTTTAGAATTGTATTGATTTCAGGAAACAATTGAGCAGGGACTAGAATGAATGACAGATTTCTCCGTTTCTTCTTAAGGAGGACTTTAGTTTGACAAAGCATTTTCTTCAATCCATTCTAGTCAGGATTTGTGTTCACTACTCCATTATTATTACTGTCATTAAGATCTCCAAAGACCTCCATGATACTGTATCTCATGATTGCTTCTTTGTTCTTGTTTTATGACCCATTTGCAGAATTGTACATAGCTTACCTCTTTCTCTTCTTGGAAATTTTCCTACTTCACCATTTCTCATCCTCAGTCTCTGTGCTAAGAATTTCCCTTCCATACCTCACTTTAAATCTTGGATATAAGCCATTGTCTCTTGTCCATCTATACACCCTCTCAAAGCAATGTCATCAAATGTCATAACTTCCAAAAGTATTTATAAGCTTACAATTCCAAAATCTGCATTTTATTTCTCACTCCTTCCTGGAACTCTAGCTTCATATATTCAACTGTCTTTCTCCACATGGCCTAGTGGCAAGAAGCACAGCTTCTTGCAAGAAGCAATCGTAAAGGCTCACAGTTCAAGGCCACCAGATGCTCCACAGAAGGACAGGCAGTCTCCTCCCATGAGATTAACTGCCTCTGAAATCCTACCGAACGGTCAGCTATGGGTCGGTTCTGACTCTGTGACACACAACAACTATCTTCACACAGCTTCTCAATAAACAATCAAAACTTAATTTGGTCAGAAACATTCTTGACTTTCTCTTCCAGCCATCTTATTTTTTACTTTCTCCTTCTGCTAAACAGTATTAGAATTCACAGAATTATATTAAAGAATAAAACTCGAGCTTTATCTTTGGTTAGTCCACATCACCTCTGTTCATCCTATCTCCTATCCATAATCCCCAAATTAACACACTTCCACTAAGACTGACATGGCCTAAGCCACACGCTCTCTTACTAGACTTCAACAACCTCCAAGCTGGTTAACATGCTTCAATTCTTAAACCACTGCAGTTAGTCTTCCAGACAAAAGGGGTAAAATATACATCCAGTAATTCCACTCCTTTACTTAAAATTCTACAAAGCATTCACCTTACTTATGATAAAAATCCCAACGTGTGTCACTGTAATTTGTGATGAAGAAGGTCAGGTATGACAGTAGCGACTTGAAAGGGAAGCTTCAGAGGCAGCAAGAAAATAAATTTCGAGCACACGCATATGGACAAATGTTAGACATGAAGACAGACACTTTCTATTGCAATTAGCAGAAGTGTTCATAAGCAGGAATTTAAGAGTTCAGGTCCACACAGTGAAAAGTCACAGTTGTAATCACATCTAGAGAGTATAGAGGAATAGGCTAGAACCAATATTTGAGTAAAATAGAAGATATGTAAAGAAGATAACATGTAAAAGGAGGAATAATGTAGAAAACATAAAAACTGACAGGGTTGCTTACAGTTGAGATCAGAGGCCAAATTTCATAGGACAATGTTTCAACAATTTTTAGTTTGCATCAAGAAGCACCAGTAAGACTTGTTAAAACATAGATTTCTAGGTCTGAATCCAAACGTTTCTGATTTTGTAAGTATAAGTAGGATCCAAGGATTTCTATTCCTAACAAGCTTCGGTGGCCTAGTCCATGGGGAGTTGCATTGGTAAACCCAAAGGCCATGCCTCTATAGTGGTTCTAATTCACTCCTTGGGAAAAAGAGGAGCAATCTCCTCCTGTGCAATTTGCAGACTCAGAAATTCAATGGAGAGTCAGCTATATATCAGTTCTAGTTGGATGACATTGAGTTCAATTGGGTTTTGGGGAAACATGGGAGAAAGAAAAAGTGAATAGTTCAGAATCGTATTTTTGTCAGGTAAGTGCATAGAAAACAGTAAATAAACAGAGCTGGGGCTACAATAAGAAAGAATGCCTGTCTACGTGAAGTCTAACTTTAACAAGGGGGCGGGGAAGGGAGCACAGGATGACACTGAAGGGGGAAAATAGAGACATAAAGGGATTGGAAATCTCTCTGTAGTTAAGGATCAGAGAAAGGGGGGACTGTGTGAAGAGAAAAGTGAAGGTTGTGCCAGAGACAGAGCTATTTCAGTTATGTGACAGCTGTGGATGATGAGAAGGTCTGTGGAAGAGATATTGAAAGAGATCAGAGCAAAGGTCTTCAAGGTGAAAAATCCAAGGAACTGAGAGCCTCGGATACAGGACAGGTCATCTACATGGGCACGAGATCATTCTCAGTTATCTCCTCAGAAGTAAGAAAGTAAGAGTAAAAGTTATCAAAAGTCTGCCATAATAATAGCATAACCAGTTTGGATTCTAGCTTTGTCACTATCCAACTGTCTAAAACAAGTAACTTCTCCAGGTCTCAAGTTTCTTATTTGCAAAATTAGGAAGAAGGTTAAACCAGACATCTGTAAAACTCATTTCATTTGAACTATGTCTGGGTGATTGTGTACCCCAGGAAGCCTCTGCTGAAAGGGGTAAGGGTTGATTATGCAGCCATGGAAATAAATCTTAACAATGGTGTCGGGTTTATGCTCTAAGCATGTAGAAAGTAACTGATTAGAACTACTGCTGCCTGAAGGTGCTCAGGTTTGCTCCTGCATTCCTTGCATTATAATTGGGGGTTTAGGGAGATAAAGAATTAAATCCCTTCTCTGGTATCTCATTTTGTTTCTAAGACTTGGAAAATAATGAATGAGGATGGTTTTAACACTAAGTCCTACCAGTCTAAATGTCATGAGCCCCTCCTGGTGATTGCTAAGAAAAAAGGCCTTAGTTTGGTCTCTACTTTTTCTGCCTTCCCATATGATAATGAACTAAATTACCCTGAGTTCCAAAATAAATAAAGTTAAAAGCATAGAATTCCTCTTAGTAGTAATAAAGAACATGATAGATTTGAACAGCAAGGGTACGTATCATAAGGTTTTAATGCGTGCATTAGGAGTCAAAAAAGAAGAGCTGAATCCACATGCCCGTTCTAGTCAAGGCAAGTCTCAAATGCCATTCCAGAAGGATGAGCAGGAAAGAATAATTGGATCTAAATCAAGGGAGAGAGAGCAAAATGAGCTGCCAGAACATCTATAATTGGTGGATCTCTTTGTAAAGCAGGTGAAAAGATGAAAGTACAAGCACAGACTGTTCAAGAACTATCCTGTTCTAAACATCCAATTAGTTAAGTTGATTTCCATACAGTAATCCATTCAAGTAACATTTGTTTCCTGTGTCTGTATCAAGTGCTACAAAGAATGAAAATGTGTCTTAAAATATTATATATGAAAAAAGAGTTTAAGTAATTAGTTCTGTGGAAAAAAGCAAAAGCAATATAGGGAAGGCTGAATCTGACCACCATTAACTATACAAAAGGGCAGTGTGCCCATCAATACCCACAGCACCAAAAAAGTAGCACCAGGATATGCCTGGCCTCTGGGTCTTGAATTTGCTGCAAAAGCGGTGAGGTTTATTAAGGAAACAGGTGGGGACAGAAGGCAAAGGATATTGCCCAGTGGAAGTCTGGTTTTTTTGTCAACAGTAACCCCATACCTGATTAACAGTAAAACACAATTCTTCTATTAGTTCAGACAGCTTCTCAGTCAACAAATGAAAGTCCAGGTTCAGTCCAATAACACAAATGCAAAAAAGCCTTTGATTTCCTCAAATGTCTAGCAAACTTTGTCTCAGGCACCACAGCTGATGATGATCTAAAAGACGCTGATCAATGCTTCAGTTGAGTCAGCTAGCTGTATACTACGCCCCTGAGGAGGCTAAGACAATGGTTAGAAAAGTGATCTTCAAAAGTTGCCCCTGTCGGGGTGCAGAGAAGCTGGGGAAGGGAGAACGTGGCCTGTCAGTTTAATAAGAAGTGTCTCCCCATAGTATTTTTCTACCATAAAATTTCAAAAAATAATGTAATGAGTTTAAATGTTCATTTTTACATTCCATTAAATGTTTTTGGTA